ATGAACTATTTCTTTCTCATAACATGTCAATATTATCTAATTTTAGGTGTATAAGGTTTGAAATCACATCAAAAGAGCATATTAACAAAAAATGGCCTAAATATAGCCTATATGACTTGTCAATGTTATCTACTTTTAGATGTCTAAGTGTCACGGTCCTGGTGTTTGGACCCCAAAACTTGCGGCGCGCTCTTGCCTTTTGGCGGCAAGAACGCTAGCCTTGAGCGAAAGAGGGGCTCGTGAGCACAAAGCAACCCAAGCGGGAAATTAAATCAACTGAGCACTCACGTCTATTTGGGCGATGGAGTGCGGGTGGTCGGGGCTTGTGACGGCCGATACTTCAAGGCGAGCACAAGCGGGTCCGAACCACAAGTTCTTAAAGCATCAAGTTGGTTTGGAGGGGAGCTATTATGCAAGTAAGACACAATATATATATATATAAAGGTTTAATAACTAACAAGCATAAAAGCAAAGCAACACTTGGTAGAAGGCTTAAGATTTCATTAATCATTAACCCTCTAAAGAGATTTAAATTGATTACAAGGAGAATCCCTAGTGAACACTGAACTGACAGTAACACAATAATGGGACCTCAAGCTAAGAAAACATAAACTAAACTCTAGGAAAGCAACTAAAGGGAATATAATACATCAAAAGGAGTTAGATTCTAACATCCTCCCCCACTTAAGCTATCGACGACCTCGTCGACTTACAAGAGTTACAAACATAACTAGAAAATCCTAAACTATCTTGAGTCTCTGATGCGCCGTTGATGCGGCTGATTTCTTAAATCTTTGTTGACTTTGGTGCTTTTCTCTGGGTGTCTTTGGGCTCGTCGCTCCTTGCTTCAAACCGGGTTTCTGACTTTGAGTTTGGCGGGTGTGTATCTGGGATGTCGCCGACTCTCTGGGCTTTATCTCCCGCCTCTAGGTGTCTCTAGTGCGAGCTTTGTTTCTTCGATGTTCCCTCTTTCTCTGGCTCCATCACTCGCATTGTTGATAGGTATCGGACTTCGGGTTCTGGGGAAGTCATTCGCATGGAGTACATCCCGTAGTATGGGCTGTTGTCTCTGCTAAAGTGTATTTTTGTTGGTTATCTGCACGGGAAGAAGGGTTTGCGTTTGTATGATTTGGATACAAATGAGTTTTTTGTGAGTCGGGATGTTCAATTTTTCGAGGAAAAATTCCCGTATCTTGAGTCCCTTCCGGATGAGCGACGATTATTGTGGGAAAAGTATTTTGTACAACCTCCGACTTGGGAAGAAGATAGTGGGGTTGATTTGGAGTTTTGGAGGGGAGCTACGGCTGACCAAGACAGCCCCATGGTCTAGCCGCAGCTAGACCTGCGCCCCTGTCCCGCGGGTGCTGCTCCCACGTCGCAGATACTGCCAGGCTGTAGGAACACCCCGCGCCCGCAGGTTCTGGCGAGCAGCCAGCCTGCAGGATATCCTGCGCCCGTAGGACAGGGCAGCAACGAAGCAGACCAGCCACAGCAGCATCCCCCAGCAACAGCACAACGAGGGGAGCTCGCTGCTGGCCACCCGTAGCCCAGCACCACGCAGCAGTCCCGCGCGGGTGCTGGTGCCAGTCCGCCTCGACCCGAGGCTCCTCACCACCCATCTCGTGTCTTTGGTTCGGATGATGGGGCTCATTCTAGCTTGGGTACGATTTTTGAGCAGAAAATTCTTGATGAAGATATTGTGATCTCGCCGTTGAGTTTGACGGGGAGTTCGTCGGATAATTTGGGTAAAGGTCAACGTGTTAAACGTCCTCCTTCGTGGCATCGTCACTACGTCACTAATACTGTCATCACTAAAAAAATATAGACCCCACTCCATCAACTGTTGTCCCTCCTCAATCTTGTTCCTCAGGCAAACCTTTCCCTATAGCTTGTCATGTTGAATATAATCGTTTTTCTGTGAGACATAGGTGTTTTCTGCGATGATCACTAAGGAAAAGGAATCGTCTTCATTCAAAGAGGCGGTTAAAGATGTCGGTTGGCGAAAGGCGATGCAAGATGAGATTGACTCTTTAGAGCATAATGGCACATGGACCATTGAGGACCTTCCTCCTGGCAAGAAGGCAATTGGCAGTGGTTGGGTGTACAAAATCAAGTACACCGACAAGTCAAAGGTAGAATGTCTCAAGGCTCGTTTGGTTGTTCATGCCAATCGACAGGTTGTCGATGTTGATTATAATGAGACGTTTGCTCCTGTTGCAAAGACCGGTACGGTATGTCTTTTTCTAGCTGTTGCTGTCTCTTTGAATTGGGAGTTACATCAGATGGATGTTCATAATGCTTTTCTTCATGGTGATTTGGATGAAGAGGTGTATATGCAGTTTCCTCCAGGGTACAGTACTCCGGTACCTGGCAAAGTTTGCAGGTTGCGAAAGTCTTTAAACGGCTTGAAATAAGCCCCGAGATAGTGGTTTTCGAAGTTTTCTAGTGTTCTGCAAGGTTTTGGGTTCAAAAACTCATATGCTGATTACTCTCTATTTAGCTATGTACAAGGCAGTGTCTCTTTGCATATTCTTGTCTATGTCGATGATTTGATTATTGCAGGCTCATCTCATGATGTTATTGTTCGGTTTAAGGCCTATTTGTGCAAATTCTTCTATATGAAGGATTTGGATGTGCTTAAGTACTTCTTAGGCATTGAGGTTGCTCGTAGTCCGGAGGGTATTTTTTCTTTCTCAACGAAAGTACGCTTTGGATATTTTGATTGAGGCAGGTATGTTGGGTTGTAAACCCATTGACACTCCCATGGAGCAGAATCATCGTCTTGCACGTGCTTCCGTTGAGTCGTTCGATCAACCGGAACAGTATCGTCGGTTGGTTGGACGATTGGTATATTTGTCGGTCACTCGACCAGAGTTGAGTTATTCAGTGCATGTTTTGGCACAGTTTTTTTAGTGATTCGTAGGTTTCTCATTGGGATGCGGCTATTCGTGTCTTGTGCTACCTTAAAGGTAGTCCTGGACAAGGCATCTTGTTGCGACCTATGAAGGATTTACGCTTGACGGCGTTTTGTGACAGTGATTGGGCGGCATGTCCTTTGACTCGGCATTCCTTGTCAGGTTATTTTGTGTTCTTAGGTCGATCCCCTGTTTCTTGGAAGACTAAGAAACAACCTACCGTGTCAAAATCCTCGGCTGAAGCCGAATACCGGTCTATGGCAGTCACTACTTGTGAGTTGAAATGGTTGAAGCAGTTCTTGTTTGTTCTTGGTGTCAATCATTCACAACCTATGCAGTTGTTTTGTGATAGTCAGTCGGCCCTGTATATAGCTAAGAATTCGGTGTTTCATGAATGTACAAAGCATATTGAGGTAGATTGTCATTTTGTTCGTGATGAGTTGTTGAAGGGTAATATTTCTACTTCATATGTTTCGACTAATCATCAGTTGGCAGATATTCTTACCAAGGCTCTTGGACGACAACAGTTTGGTTTTTTGTTGCGCAAGTTGGGCATTCGTGATTTGCATGCTCCAACTTGAGGGGGAGTATTAGAGTCGGTTTGGTTATATTTGTTAATATTGTATCTTTGGCAAGTTTATCTTTTTAGGAGTTTTAGGCATGTTGTGTATTGTGTATATATATGTGATTATAATTAATACAAAAGGTTAAGCCGTTTTCTCCACCTCTTTCTCTACTTTAACACACCAAAAGCAAGGTTTCGACTTCTATTATCTTGTTAGTAAAGTTTACATGCCCAAAATTTGCTGCTACATGTAACGACGACTGCATATATCTTCTGGATTTTTCGATGATGCATCGATCAAGGATAAGTGGGTCTTCTTCGAGCAAGTTGAGCAATGAAGGTACGTCTCCCTTGAGTGCTGCATCATATAGCTTTGTTGTAGCAAGTAATTGGCTTATTTCTATTTGTGCATCCATATTTTGTGTGGTTTATTATAGGAATTATTGAAGTATGTGTCTCTCTTTTTATAGCCGCATCCCTTAGTCCCTTTTGTTTATTACTCTATTATTTTACTTTTTGTTGTTCTTTTTAGCCCATTTTCTACATTTCTTATCAAATGAACTATTTCTTTCTCATAACATGTCAATGTTACCTAGTTTTAGGTGTCTAAGGTTTAAAATTGAATCAAAAGAGCATTTTACCAAAAATTGCCCCAGTATGGCCTACATGCATGATTTCTATTTAGCGCATTTTCTAAATTTTTATAAAATGATCTATTTCTTTCTCATAACATGTAAATATTATCTAGTTTTAGGTGTATAAGGTTAGAAATCACATCATAATTTGCTTTCTCTTTTCTCAATTCTTCCTGTTTTCCTCTAAATCAGTTCTGAGCATCTTGTGAGTTCCTAATCTCTCTTTTTGAGTGCACATTAAGAGAGATCGCTGTGTTAAATCTTGGGGGGGGGGGGCAACACCATTTTCGATTGCACCATAGTTTGGATCCAAATGCATATTCCGAGGACGATTCGCAGCATAAGCAAGACATCCAAAAAACCCATAAGCCATCATACAATGGCACTTGACCAAACATACACTCATGTGGAGTTTTTCCATTAAGAATAGTAGTTGGAGTCCTGTTAATCAGATGAACCGCAGTCATGACACACTCACCCCAAAAATACTTTGGTAACTTTGGCTGAAACCGAAGAGCACGAGCCACATTCAAAATGTGATAATGTTTACGTTCAACCCTGCCATTCTGCTGAGCCGTGTCAACACACGACGTTTGATGCAAGATGCCCTTCTTAGCAAAGAAAGACCCCAAACTCAGAAATTCTTGGCCATTATCACTACGTACCACTTTTACTTTCCGGCCAAATTGAGTCTTAGCCATAGCACAAAACTCACGAACTAACTGTGAAGCCTGATATTTACCAACCATCAAAAACACTACCCAAGTAGCACGAGAAAAATCATCACCAATGGTCAGAACAAGCATCAGAACTAGAAACAATTTTATTCGGACCCCAAAATATCATAGTGATTTAAATCAAAAATCACAGATGCTTTATTCACACTTAACGGAAAAGAGTTTCAGGGTTGCTTCCCCATAAAACAAATGCACAATCAAAAGAACAACCAGAGTTACTACTATGAGTACTACTACTACTAGAAACTCCCGAAAGAGAGCTCACAACTTGCATTGACGGATACCTGAGACTCCTATGCCATAACAAACTTGCATCTGAAATAACCACTTTGATCGCCTGCAGATTCCAAGCACGAACTGGACAAAAAATATAGACCCCATCATATTGTACCCCTGCTCCAATCAGGTTCCTCAAACTGCGGTCCTGGATAATGCATAGCTTGTCAGTGAACATATTAAAATAACATTGTTTTTCTAACAATTGAGACACATATAACAAGTTACATTTAAGAGAAAGAACATATAAAACATTATCAAGAGTTAGATTATCAGACAAAAAACTCTTCCTTCCTTCGTGGCCGTCGTGCTCTTCCCATTGGGTAAACCAACAGGCGAAGAAATATCATGTAAATCAGTGAACAGATCAATATTACCAGACATATGATTGGAAGCTCCAGTGTCAATGAGCCACTCAATAGAATTATACGTACCAAGTTTAGTGCCATCTGACGAAGAACCAGACTTAACACCCTTTACAGCAGACATGAGTTCCTTCCATTGAGCATCAGAAATCGTAGGAACACTCCCACGATCAGAATCAGAAACCGGCTCATTATTACCACGAGAACTACCAGCAGCACCAGCAAACTCACCCTTTCCTCTACTATACGACCCACCACCACGACCTCCATGACCACCGCGACCTCCACGACCTCCACCCGGAAAGCCATGAAGCTCATAACAATGGTCCCTGTCATGACCAAACTTCTTACAATAAGTACACTCCTCTCGTTCGGATGTTCGACCGGAAGTCGTACCTGTTGCATTATAACCGACAGTCGTAGACAAAGAAGAGGTCTCATGTGCCTCAGACACAGATTGCTTACGCTCATCAGCAACAACCTTAGCATAAGCAGCATTCATAGTAGGCAAAGGATCACTCATCAACAAAGTAGAAACAACAGAACCAAACTTCTTAGGATCCAAACCAAGACAAAACTGATGCAACAACTCATTCTCATGCAACTTAGCATACTCTTTCGCAGCGGAACAAGTACAAGCAGGCAATTTCACATAAATAGACAATAAATTCTGCAATTTATTCAATTCACCATAATAAACTGCAACAGAACGACCTCTTTGCTTACAATCAGCAATATCATGTTTAAGTTCAAAAATACGTGGACCATTACCAAGAGAATAACGATCACGCAAATCATCCCACAAAGTTTTAGCATCATCAGGAATAATAACAGTTGAACGAATACTAGCATTAAGAGTATTATAAATCCAAGCAACAACAGTAGAATTAACAATACCCCACTGACGATAATCCTCGTGTGTGGAATCGGGCTTGACAATAGAACCATCAACAAACCCGAACTTGCTCTTGGAACGAAGATTGTTGCGAATCGATCTCGACCACTCTTCATAGTTGTCGACGGTAAGCAACACAGGACAAATCACCAATTGAGAACCTTCACTCGGATGAAGATAATAATCCGTGAACGGCTCGTATTTAGGAGGAGGAGGAGGAGGAGGAGGAGGATTTTTATCACCGCCAGCCATCACACCCAATTACGAGCAACGCAACCAAGGGGCGCAACAACAAACACAGGCAGCCAACAACTTGCGCACACACCACACCTCGCAGCACCCAACAAGGCACTATGCTAGCAACACACACCAATACCGCACAACGCACACGCACTGCAGCAGCACAACACACACCAGCACCCAGCACACCACGCACCACGCACACACCACACACACTCCCACAACAGAGACGCACCACGCAGCACACACACCACACAACTAATAACTTGTTATTTGGTATGATTTTAGGGTACTTTTGAACCTTGTTTTTGTGATTATTCGACATCAAAGTTCATTATTTATCCTATTTTTATACAAATTTTGTACCATCCATGCTTCACGGGTTGTTTGTGTTTTTGATGTAATGTAGCTATTTTTAGCACCATATATGGATGTGATCAATCATGAGTGAACAAGGAGAAGGGAAAGCTTGGTTTATAGAGCAATGGAGGAAGAAGGATGAGTGCCTTAAAGAGAAATGAAAAGCTTTTGGAAAGCTTTGAAGGGTTGTTTGCACAAGGGTCAACTTCAACTGATCATAACTTTTGTTCTACTCAACATTTTGAAGTGATTCAAATTGGAGAATAAATTTCATCTCAAGAGCTTTCCAACTACTGGTCACATGCCTTATTCCAATAAGTAACGAAGAAGTTATGACCTCCCAAAAATAAGTTGTTTCGCCAGAAAAGGGTTGCACGTCCGTGCTAATAAGTGGCACGTTCGTGCAAGTCCCTGAACGTCCGTGCCAAATGAAGCACGTCCGTTCAAGCTCAGGCAGTAGCTAATGCTCGTATTTTAACAGGTCTTCACATCCGTGCAACCTTTGGCACGTCCGTGCCGACCTGTAGACGAGTCGTTTTTCTCGTTTTCTCCGTCCTTTCTATTTGGGGTAATATAAATACCTTCTTAGCTCCGATTGTACGGGGAGGAGCTTCTTAGTGTAGTTTTAGCTTAGGTTAGGGTTTTTAGAGAGAGAAACTCTCATTTTCTAGAGAGATAAAGTGGGAAAAACTTATTGAAAGCTTAGAATATGAAGAATTGAAGGAAGGAGACTTGAAGATTTGATTATTTCTTGCAATATCAATGAGAATTTCTTACTCTCTCTCTTATTTTATTGCTTTAATTGCTTATTTTTGTATCTTTTCTGGTTTACTGCTTGTTTATGTTAAATTAGTGTTTGAATCCATGTTCTTAGTTGTTGACTCCCTTTGTTTTGGAATCTATAATGTTTTGTGAGTAGTTTATTTACTTAGGATGGTTGAAACCATTGATGAATTCACAAATACTTGTTTTCATGTGTTGATTTAGCTAATGTGGGATGTTAATTAGTTGAGCTTAAGTGGTTTCATTGTTAGTTCTTGTAAGTGGCCATTGCTAGAACTATTTATCTAAGCTTTCTCAACGAAGGATCGAGAGATGAACTTGAGTTAGCTCCATTATGCTTAATTGACTTGAAATGCCATGAGAATAAGAATTTCTAGTCAAGGGAATGTTTGTGTCATTGTGATTATGTTTTAACACTTGCTTTATGCTTTGTAACCACGAGAGTAGGTTGTATTCATGATTCAAGTTGTATTCATGATTCAAGTAATCCCTCTAGCTTGAGAGAGTAGTTGGGTGCCTTAGATGACTTCCCCTAATTTATCCCCAAATGCTATGTTTTGTATGTTAAATTGTAGTTTGTGAATGACTTAATTGGTGGATACCTTCCCAAGATCATTTTTATTATTGTTTGTAGTTTTTCTTTATAACTCAAAACCCAAAAAGACTTGTCTTAGCTTATCACAAATCAAAATTTGTTAATGCTCCCCTTAGTCCCTGTGGGATCGACCCTTACTTGCCCTTTCTACCCATTAGAGAGACCAAGTTAGGTTTTTATCTTTGGTAGGCTCGACGACGGCCTATCAACAACACGCACACCACACAGCACACCCGAGAGCACACCAACAATACAGAGCACCACACCGAGCACTCCGCACACACACCAAAACACAAGCGCACCACACATGTAGCACACCCCAACAGAACGCAACACCACGCATCACTTCAAACCACACACACCACAAAGTAGCATGCACCGCAGCACAACCCTAACCAATCAACGAAATTAGGGTTTGATAAACCCTAATCTGCAAATTTAATTGGTGGAAATTTTGAAAAAATTGAAGGAATTATGTCTTCGTCAAGTGTAATTACTAGATATATCAAGGATCGCTATTATGGAGATAATTAGTTCATTCTTTTGGGTCGTCATTGTCTGTTGCTAGGTATGATAAATGATCTTTGGGCTAGTCAATTAGTCCAAAGCCCAATAGAATGGATCCTATGAGGTCACACACAAGAGTATTGGATTGAACAAGTGTGAGGCCCATTAATGGGCCTCATGAGGCTATGACAAACCATAAAAGGGTTTGGGCTAAAGTAGTTAGAATAGAGTTAGGAATTGGGCTTGACATGGACTCTTATTTCTAGATATGATCTATAAATAAAGTCCATGCCTAGGGTTGAAAGAAGACATGACACAAGACATTCAATTGTCAGTGAATTGTGAAACAAGGCAACCAATTCCCAAAACCCTAAACTTTCTCTTTCCTCACGCACGCCCTCCCCCCCCCCCTCACCAAACCGCACGGCCACCCCTCCTTGGTGGTGTGTGGTGTTCTTCGTGGTGGTTCGTGGTTAGTTCGTGTCTCTCTTCTCCGTAGAAGGTTCATTGAAGTGTTCAATCACAACTAACTATCATTAGTGGAGGTTCAATCCCTGCTCGTGGACTAAGTAGAGGAATCACACTTGGGGTTCTTGATCTCCTTATTGTTCTTGCTCGATCACACGTGGATTCACACTTCAAAGGTATAATTCTATATTATTTATGTGTTATGCATTGATCTTGGTTGTTAGATGCTTATGAATATGATTCACGCAATTTTTCTTAGTGCATCTATAGTCCTACAGTGGTACCAGTTAGCCTATGCATGTACACATATTGAATTTGATTCTTTGTAGTCCACAATTTTAATTCAATTAAGAGGGAGAATAATTTAATTATAGGTCAATTATTATTTTAAATGAGATTTAACATATAGAATCATTAAAAGTTGTTTAATTTCGCTCGAATTAACCCTTAAAAGGACCGAATTTTGCCCATATTTTGTTCGAAAAATTCGACCCCCTACCCTATTTTCGAAGATCCGAAAACACTAACCCTAAATTTTGATTTTTGTGTTTTGGTTTTGAAAAATTTCGATTGTTATGTGTTTCATGAATTTAATTTATTTGTTTTCATGTATAAATTATGAATTTTGCATGATCAAACTATTTAATTTAAATGTTAAATTGAATTGAAAATTAATTTCATGAAGAACCCTAATTTTAAGATTGAATGTGATTTGATTTTAAAATTAATTGGACCACTTTAATTTATTTTTACAAAGGGTTGTTTTAATTAAATTAAATTTTTCAAAAAAAAGGGAATTTTTGAGGCTGTTTTTGGGCGGCAGCCGCGACTGGGTGGCGCAGCCACGGTGGCTATCGCCAGTGGTGGTCCAAGAGGGAGGGGTTGGGGTGGGAAGAAGCTCGGGGCAAAAGGGGCAGCAGCTCCAGTCAGGCGAGGTAGCAACAGCAGCACCGCAACAGTTGTGTGCCACTGCTGCTGCTGTTGTGCGTCGCTGCTTGTAGTGTACACCTCACGGTGTACGGCCACCGTGGCTGGCTTCGGCTGGCCACACCACGGTGGCTGACGCAATTTCAAAAAAAAAATAAATTAAAATTCAAATTTAAAAATCAGATTTTTATTTTGAAAGGATAATTGTCAAAATTAAAGTTGTTATTTTTGATAGGTTTTAAAGATATTTTGAGCAAAAGATTCTATATGGATAATAATTGATTTAAATAATGAGATTATCCCATAATTATTTTAGGAAATAATTGATTTAAAATTTTGTGATTGACTAAGTAATTAGGATAGAATCTCCTAAATTAGTTAGGATAATCAAGGAGAATAAATATGATTTATCTTTCCTGATTAAAATAAGATTTGATTATATCTCATGCCTAATTCAAAATATATGATATTCTAAAGATGGTCATGAATAATATATGATATTATCTAATTACAGATTAAAATATGAGATGTTTAGGTGCCATGTTTCCTTAATTATGAACATTTGATATTGTAGTTTAGGAAAGCATGATGAGTGATTTATTATATGGCATTTTATAATATATGATGTTATTTTTTGCTATATATAGACTAGTATGGCTCGTAGATTCTAAATACGATCTGCTCATCGTGATGTATTTTTGTAATCTAAGTACGGTCTGCGTACCGATAAAGTATTTTTTGTAATTTATTTTATTTTATTTAAGTAGTAGATAGAATAGAATAGTATTACAGGTTGCAATTAATCCAAGAAGCCAATGGAGTAAAGGCCCAAAGGAGCAAGATGGATGAGATCCATGAAGGTTCAAGTGAGAGTTTTTGCTTTATTAGTTTTCTTAGGATTAAGGGGTCATACTATGTCATGTTTAATTTATGCATTAGTAGATTATGCATGTTAGATTTTATTGATGCTTGTGATGATGCGCTAGAGTTCACTAAATAATCACAACATAATAAATCTAGGTCCCGGTAATATTGAGATTACTTTTCAATTAGATACCCAACAACCCTTCGATCGTGAGTGGTGGGTCTGCCTCCACAGGGTGTCACTTGTTATCTTAGGTAATTTGGGGTAGATCACGTTCTACACATTTAGTTGGTCACACTCAACAAGGTTACCTAAAGCGTTTAGAACCTTGAAGCAAAGGGTAATAATTAATCATGTGATGGGTGATTATTCAACCAAGAGTTACAAGAGTTGTAATCCGTAAAGAGTTTACTCACCTTGAAAATGTAATGCTTAATGGTAGGGCCTCAGTCCGGTCAACTATTACACAAATAAAGGATCTTGGAATCACTTAATTCAATTGGATCA